GAATTTTTTTCCAAATGAAAAAAATGAGTTCTTTGACATTTTTTTAGAATCTTTCAATTAGTTTTTTAAGCTTTTTACCTTAGAACAATGGCTTAAAAAAAATTTTATATACACAGTTTTGTAGAGCTCGACGAGCTTTATCCAACCATGTAAAAAATGTTTGACTCTATTATGGAAACTATTAGCATCTCGATTTTTCTATGCCAGAAAAAGCATAAAATTTCTGTATGTTTCATTAATTCGACATTTAAAGGTTTTGATAACTCTTATTATTTAGTATCAATAAATCCCGTTTTTGACGTGCTTTAATTTGGTATAATAATAGTTATGTACGCTATTTGAAATTATAGTGTTACTCCTCTGGTAAAACATTTTTACGCACCTTGTACAAGGTAGGATAAAGACTAGAAAATTTCTTTCAGTCGACATTATGAAAAAAGTTTACCCTGTATTTCTCTTGTCCACGCGAACGTGTCAGGGTTAATATCATCTCAGTCTACATACATGTCATTATTAATTTCATAAAACAATAAAAAATTTAGATAGTTGGCCAATTAATCTATCGAATATTTGATTCAGTTCTTATGCACACGGAACAATCATTATATTGCATAATACTCATTCTTTTTATTATATTAACGGTGTGTCAAACAAAGTATACAAAACTACAAGAAAATAACAAAAAAAAAAGAAACACAATGAACTTAATCATTATCCAAACACTAATGGAAAATCATATTAATCATAAAATTATTTTTTTTTACCATCTTACATGTCCTTGATATTCTTATTTTAATGAAACTCTTTTAACAGTTTCATAACCAAATATAATCAATAATGAATAAATACAAGAATGTGATAGACGAGCTGTTAAACCTTTTGTAAAAACATGAAAACGTTCTTCTTGCCATAATTCATACATAATTTGTGTCATTCGTCTTCGTTGTTGTTCAACTTGTATACGAGTACGACATACATCAAGTGGATTTGTAAGCATAGTTGATGTAAGTGATGATAGAGGACCAGCAATACATTGAATAACAATTAATGGTAATGAAAATTCTTTTGCTGAAAAACAAAAAAAGAAAATTTTGTTTTTCTTCTTTTAGCAAAAAATATAAATTAAAGAACAATTCAACTTACAAAATATTGCTTCAATTCTAAACATTTGTCTTTGATAATAATAATATGATGGCCACCAAATCGCACTTGTTAAACTAAATAAAAATGTTGATATTAAATAACCACGATAAAAACCTTTAAAACTAATCCCTGATTTTTTATCTTTATCTGTATATTTTTCATATAATAATGCTGTACATATATGTTTAAATATTAAATAATTACTAGTACGAATTTCTTTAGGTACATGTATACGAGGAATGTGTCGATGATGAAGAGAATCTGATGATGATGATTTATTAGATAATATTGAATCCGATTTTGATGATAAACTATCTGCAAGACGAGTTTTTTTTCAGATAATGTTAATCCAACTAATTGCATATGTTGAGATACAATATCAATAGGACATGCAAGTATTTGTGAACATAATGAACCTATAGTACCTCCAACACCAGCACGTAAATATTCATTTTTAGTTAAAATATTAGCACGAGCACGTGTTGCTTCAAATGTTGTTATATAAATTAAACCAGGTAGTAATTGACAATTATAAACAAGAAAACCCTTATATAATGAACGAAAGCCTTCATAGAGAACTGTTGTACATAATGCATGCCATGTACCTCTATATATAGATGATTTTACTTGAACTTGTAGACGAGTACGAACAAGTGTAATTGGATATAAAAATGAACGAACAATAAATGTTGATAGAAGATTTAATGGAATAAATCGAGCTTTATCAAGCATTGGCCAATCGATGTCATGTGTTAAATATGGTTCATCACTTTCGGACATTGAATACTTAAAAGAGAAAACAATTTATCAGAATTTATATATATTCGATGAAAATCTATTTTTAGTTTTATATAAACAAACAGAGAAACTAATAGAAACAAAACTTTTGAACAGTCAATACAATAGTCTTTTTCTTTAATAAAAGAAAAAAAAATCAAAAAATTTTGCGTTTCAAACACGGCAAACAAACAAAGAAACAACAACAGCAAAAAAAAATATTGTTTTTCTACTTTAAAGAATCACAAAGAATAAACAAAACTACTTTGATGATGATGATGATGTTGTTGTTTGTATTATTGGTGTTGCTCTTTGTTGAACAATTTTTTGCACTAAACCTTGACTTGCCATAAGTAATAATTGAAAACGTTTAGCCATCGTTGTTGATGGATTTGCTTGAATATATGTATGTAATTTTTTACTAAGATCAATTAGAACAGTTTGTAAATAATCACGTACACTTGGATGTGATAAATCAAGACAAATTAATGCTACATGTAGATATCTACAAAAAATAAAAAGTTAAGAAATAAATAAGAATGAAAAAAACAAATTTTTACCTATACTTTAATTCTTGATGTGTATTTAAATCAGCTGAAAGTTGTTGAATTAATGAAAGAAGAACAGGAGGTTGTAATGGACATGGTTGAATTGAAAAAAGTTCTGGTGGACGAACATTTTCACATAAATATAAAACAAGATTTAAATCTGATGCTGATAATGCAAATTCAAATGCTTGATTTAATTGACCAACACGAGCAACTTTTAATACATGTTGTTGTTTAATATCTAATGTTGAACTTGTATTTATTATAGTTGGTGATGATACAATAATAGAAGAAGTAGGTATTGGTGTTGTTGTTCGACTAATTGTTGATTTTGAAGTAAGAGTTTGTTGAAGTAAATTATTTATATCACTTTTTTGTGTAGTTAATAATTCACGAAAGATTACAGTTGTTTCATCACGTAATACAGATCGTATTGTTTCTCGAATTCTATTTAAATAAAAAAAAAAGTAGAAAATTCTTTTATTTTATTGAATTTTTTTGATGCTTGACTGATCTATTCAATATGAGTTTGAGAACTGTTATTTATTAGTATATCATATTTTATTCTAAGATGATGTCTCGAGAAGTATTGAATCACAACTCCGGAGTAGAGATATGCAGAACGAAGTTTTTTGATCCCAGTCTCGGCGGCCATTTTCTTCACCGACCCTGGTAGGTTCTTTTCTAGTGGTCCCGGTCTCGACGATTTTAGTTTTTCGAGTATCGAGCTTTAGAATTTATTCGTCTCGTATCTAAAAAAATCCTTCTATATTCTTTTTTTTTGATTTATTTAGTCCATGACTACTACCCATTTCAAAACAGAAGGCGAATGATTGAGAGTCGAATAACTCGAGAACGGAAGTAGCTATGGAGCTGCGGTTTTTACCATTAGAAAGCGAACATTGAGGCACGGAGAAATTTCATTGGTCAGTAATGAACCAATAGGATGAAAGCTCGTCTGACATTTTGAAGATAGCTAGCTTTTAAAAGTTGGATTTTGAACTTCAATTAAATCATTCGATAGAAAAAATTGTTCTCTTTCGATCTAGACAAGGCTGAGGTCGATAGCTTGCACCGTTCGATATTTTCCAGAGAGCTCTGAAATCGGCCAGATGATGCGGAATCACTCTTAAAAGCATTACATTATAGATAATCGACCACACTGAATTCAGTGGTGATGTTTGGGTTTTATTTCAAAGTAATCTGAGATCATTATATCGATATTTTCAATATACGTATTCTTTAAGCTAAATAGCAGCAAAAACTAGATTTACGAAAACTTTTTTTATAACAATCTCAGGTTACTTTAAAATAAAACCCAAACATCATGCGTGGTCGATTATCTATAATGTAATGCTTTTAAGTGTGATTCCGCGTCATCTAACCGATTTCGGAGCTCTCTGGAAAATATCGAACGGTGCAAGCTATCGAGCTCAGCCTTGTCTAGATCGAAAGAGAACAATTTTTTCTATCGAATGATTTAATTGAAGTTCAAAATCCAACTTCCAAAAGCTATCTTCAAAATGTCCGGCGGGCTTTCATCCTATTGGTCCATTACTGATCAATGAAAGTTTTCCATAGATTTACGTGTCTCAATGTCAGCTTTTTAATGATGAAAAGTGCAGCTCCATAGCTGCTTTCGTTTCCGATTTATTCGACTCACAATCACTCGCCTTCTACGTTGAAATGGATAGTAGTACAAAAGTTTTTCTTTTATTCTTACATAGATGTTAAATTAGTTGTCATATATTGAGTAATATCATTTTTAAGTGTATTTACTAATTCTTGATTTTTCTTTTCAAATTCTTTATTTAATTGTATTGATTCTTTACGAATTTCATTCATCATTTGTTTACGTTGTTGAATTAATGAACGTTGTTGTTGTCGACCATATTCAATCATTTCTTGTAAATCTATATGTTCAATTATTTATTTAAATAAAAAACCAAAAACTAAGTATTCTACATACATTCTTTTGTACCACGTTTAAATACATCATTTGTTTGTTGAAACATATTTGTTGCAGCTTTTTCAAATGATGGTATTACTATTTGATTAAATGTATCACGATAAGATGTTATCATTATTGATTGTATTGCATTAGATATTGTATGACTTAAAGAATCGATCATTGTCTACGAAAAAAAACAAAATGATAAATAATAATGAAAAAAAAACAAAATTATCAATCAAACTTTTGAACGAAATATTTGTGTAATTGTTTGTTTAATAACTGTATCAGTTGCTAATAATTTAGTTGCAAGATCTTTATGTAAATTATCTTTCATATCTCGATATGGTTCGAGTACAGATTTCATTGCTATAATGAAGAAAAACAAAAGTTGGTATTGCAATCCTGGTCGTAAAACATAATGAAGTTTCTTACATTGTGAATGAAAGACATATTTAAAAAAAGTTCGTTAGCGCAGCTCCTCCTCTAGGGCGAAATGTGGAACTGCCATACATTTGTGTACATAAAACATTGCCTTACTATTAGTATCTTAATTCTACACTCTTTCCTTTGCTTTTTGATCTTAAAATTTCGATCAATGTTGTTCGCTATGCAAACTATGGGTACCCTATAGAACGGCCCTTGAGAATCTATAGTACCTCCATATAATAGTCCTTAACGGCCTATTGGTACCTCCATAAGATAGCCTATGAGGACTTATGGGTACCTCCGTATAATAGCTCACGAGGACCTATGCGTACCTTCATATAATAGCCCATGAGGACCTATGGGCACTTCTATATAGTAGCTCTTGAGGACCTACGGGTACCGCTACATAACAGCCCTTGAGGACCTACGGGTACCTCCATATAATAGCCCTTGGCGCCTTCCCCTTATAGCCTTATTTGACCATTAACCCTTGACCTTTGGCCTGGCACAGACGCACTGAGCATTATATATATAGATAATTTTGTTTAATTATGATGAAATTATTCGAAAAGAAAAATACGTATTACCTTTCAATTAAATACTAGAAATCAAATATTATGTATAAAAACTTTTCGATATTTTCAATAAAAACATACGTAACGAAAAATATCTTATTTTGATAATGATGAGAAGTAAAATAAACCTATCAACTAGAGCTTTCTTTTATATATAAACTGGTTAATCTAAATTAATGCAAAAAGAAATACGCTTTCGAATAGTTAAAATTTCAAAAATCAAATTATGAAAGATATCCTCTCGTACTTCTTCATGTAAACACTCCTCAAATTTCTTACAGAAAAGAAGCTAACTATGCTCGACCTGAACACGATATATCAGTGGTAGTATTAAAAAAACGTGCAACATGAGATAATGAAGTGCTACTATTCTTCATGATATTGAGCTGATATTTTGGATGCATACATGCGGCAATAAACTCTGATCTCAAGCACCAATTCGTTCAGATCACTTTGTCTCAACTGTCGTCCAATCCCTCATTAAAAAAGACCACTGTCGTAGCTATCTATATAGGTGTATTTACCAGGTGGTTCGAGACTAATCATTCTATCAATTTTGTTTGTCAATTGTTCAAGACGTTGATAGCATTGTTCAAGTTTTTTGTCATAATCTGAATGTGATGTCATATGTGAAAGAGATTCCGAAGGAATATTTGTTTTATGTGAACGAAATTCATTTAATAAACGAGTTAATTGACGAATTTCATGTAATGCCTAAAATAAAAAAAAATTATAGAAATTACATGTATATATCTATATATTATATTCACATCAGTATTTAATACTATTTGAGAACTATTTAGTGAACGTCCACCACGTCGTTTTATACGTGTATGTGGAAGATCTTCTTCATCAGCTGTTGAATCATCATCTTTATCACTTTAAATAGATAAAATATTGAATATTTATAATGTTTATATGAAATTTACATTGTTTCAGTTGGATCACTAAAATCATCGATATCTTGACGACCAGATGTATTTGATCCTCTTGAAAAAGAAAAAAGAAAGATTAATAATGAAAAACAAAATTTTTATCTTACTTCATTGGACTTTTTTTAGACCAACGTGAATTATCACCATATTTTGTTGGTGATAAAAGTGGATCTTGATTACCAATAATCTAATAAAAACTAGATCATATGTATTCGTTATTTTTTTTGTTGAAAATTCATACTGGTTCATCATCATCATTTGTTTTTATTGGCATAAATACTGTATCACCATCATCATTATCATCATTTGGTACTAAGAGTAATAATTTAATAAATTATAGTAAAAAAAAAAAAGAATAACTTACAGGTTTCATATGGAAGAGGATAATTTGTTGTACATGACATACTTTCAGCAACTTCTTTATCATCTAGATCATATGGTGATTGTGATATACCTAAATATATTATTAACATTTGAAAATCTTTCAACTAAACAAAAATTCGATTGATTTTATTTTTATGTATTTAAATTTCAGAATCGTACGCGATAGAGCGTTTTAAATCAAGAGTAGGCTCAATAATTTTTTTACAAAATTCTCTCCGGG